AGGTTATTAGTGATGACTAAACCATATTAATGACTAAAACACATAATATAGAGAAATCACTTGTGACAATAAAATCTATTTTGTTAGTTAAATAGGTGGAATAGGAAATACATCATACTTACCTCAATTTCTAATTTGTGGACTTTGGTCTTGGTTTGTGTTTTGACTTTTTTTTTAATAAACCAGTGGAATTAGTCACCAATAACATAACCCAGAAAATATAATTTAAACTAGCCACTCAATAATTAATCCTTCATATTTTGATTATAAATCAAGGGGGGGAAATGCCACTGCTGATAGTCTTGCTTCATGTGCTAATATATTTTGCCCACAAAATATTGTATTGTAAGATAAATATGGCAAAAATACAGTAAATTTGAGAGAGATAAATCATCTACAATCATTCACTCAACAAATACTAATTAAGGAATTCCTGTGTGTCTTTTATCTTCTAATATTTTTCTGTCTTTAGAATTTATCATTCATAGATGTTTGTAATCACTATAGCAATGCTTGGAAAAGTTACTCTGAAATTTTATAAATAAATTACTGAAGCAAACAGAGTCTAAAACTAAAATATATTTTTGTATTATATTGGTTTTTCTCATTCGAAATAAAAATCTAAAAAGCTATCACATCTTTGTTTTGTATGCCTGGCTATCATTGTTTAATATAGTAAATGAATAAAATTGGCACCATTACCAGGCCAAGTATATGTAAGGGAACTCAGCTATTAATGAATTAATCCATAGGTTATTTCTCAAATAAAAAAATGTTAATGCCAATAAATATGGAATCAGTCTCCCAAATTTTACTGAATCTAAAGGAAGGGATTGGCCTCTTTTACTTTTCAATTTTTGTTTAAAATTAATTTCTTAGACTCTTTAGGTCATGCAACAAATATTGTAAGTTACTATAAATTCCAATGCTGTGATGAAGCATATATGTTTTTAACACAGAAGGAAAACACAGTAATGTTTAAAATTTTATTAATTTTTTTAGTTAAGATAAGTTTACGGGGTGCCAACATAATGGTTTCCATTGATAATTACTATAAACAAAGACTAAAATTTTCAATATTTAGTACTGGATTTTGAACCCAAATGAATGTTTTAGAAGTGCCATGCCTTACTTTTAAGGTTTTTCCTTTTCAAACTATAAATAAAGATATTTACACAGAACTTGAAACTATTCATATTTCTATTTGCATTTTTTCTTCCATTTATTGCTGTCTTTCAACAATAAATCACCTTAATGCTAAATAAATTGCTGCTCTTGACTTTTGAGTATACTCATTTCAGAATACACACATAGGTTGATGGTACTTAGATGATTTTAATGGCAGGTCACAATTTAAAAATGTTCACACCTAAAAGTAATCTATCACTCCAAGAAAAACATTTAAAATGATATTTTATTTCATAACATTGAGACATTTAATTTGTTCAACATCATCCTATAACAACCAAGATCTAATAGACTATTTTTAAACTTCTAAAGCAAATGTGGAAATCAAGTAACACAGGGGTGAATGACAAAGTGACTTTTTTTTCTTTTTGAAAACATGATGATTGAAATATCTAGAAAATGTTACAATATAATACCAGAGTTAAGATGGGTAAGGCATTACCCTACATTTAACTTCCATCTTTTAATGTCATTCTTGTCATTCTGTATAGTCAGCCATATTGACAGACATAATTTGCAATAAACATTTTATGATCTTGTAGCTATAAATAAAATATTTGTCATTTTACAAGAATCTAATATGATTCAAAACCTTGTAAAATCCACATCCCCAAATCACTCCCTTTTTAATATAATTTTTATTTTTCATAAAATATGTACTTACAGTCATTCAATTAACTTGAATAGAAAATATTTGCATATTTATATTGTGTATTATCTGCATAAAAACTAAATTAGATTGATTAATCTATTTTAGTTATTTTAACTGAAAGTGGGTATTTTATACCTAGTACTACATTGCTTGGCAAACAATCAAATGTAATTGAAGCCAAGTAATTCACCCTATTTATAGACTTTTTTTCAGGATCACCTGCTTTGTATAGATTGTTTTAAGTACAGTTGTAAAGTTTCAATTTTTAAGAGTTCCTTTGAAGAAGGGGCAGATGTTGGCTTTGCTAATAACACTGGAAAGTATAACAGGCTCAAAGTTGCAAAAATGTTTAACACATATAAAAAATAACAGTGTGCTTTTCTATTAAACTTGGTTATTTTCAATTGTCAATAAACGATAATGGAAGAATAAAGTCCACAAATACTTGTTTCTAGATTCATAAGCTTCTTGAGTTTGTAAACATGTGTGTTTGGGAGGGAAATGCATGTAAATGCATTCTGGTAAGTGTTACATATCATAGTTTTAGCATCATCGCCATGGATAAAATTTGGATTGTTTGTCAATATTTTCAGGTGCATAAAATTCTATTAAAATTCCACACGGTCATGCACACATACATGATATCTGGGTATTAGATGCCAGGATACAGAATTTTGGTTCCAACTTTGCCCTGGATTTATGCACCACATTTACTCTGAACTATAAATACATAGTAATTATAAACTGCCTAACAAAATATAAATGGGCCTGCTAGACATGATGTGATTTTCATCTAGTATGATTTTAAAATTTCAAGAGTTCAGAAATTAATTTAATTTTTGGAAATATTTAAATATTAAAACTGTGCTATAAGCAGTGAGATTACGTGTTAATAATGAGTAAGAATTATAGTGATTTTTCTACATTCCCTTAATTTTTGCTGGATCAAGATGCCTTTATAATATTATAAAATAAAATAGCTGTGACCACAAATTATGGAAGACCAAATGCAATATCATCACAGGAGAAAGGTATCTTGAAGTTAAATCTATCTAAAGATCCAGCAAATATAACTAGAAACTACTGTGATGTTTCTCTTCAATTAGTCAAAATTTCTTTCAAAATATTCCATCAAGGAATCGCTCATTCTAACCCCCCAGTGATTCTATCCTTGGTGACGACTAATTGCATTTCCCACTTAGGGTGAAATCTATCAATACTTTATGTAGCTGATGTTAGCTTTTGTATTTGTTATTTTTCCAGTACTTTATTAGCTTCAACATGTAAAAATAAGCTTACTTTGTTATATGATTATTTCCCACCATTAATAGAAGCATTAATATAACCAATTTTCTTTTAAAAGTTATTAAAATAATTTAAGGGAACAAGCTCTAAGATCCCACTTTCTCTGTTTTCCCCCAATCCAAATAGCATATGTCTATATGAAAATTCAGTTTGCCCTAAGAAACTTAGTTGCAGTGGCTCAATTCAGGAAGCATAAGGAACAACAATCCATTACACAGATTTCTCATTGCAGAAAGTAAAGGGAATAGTAAGAGCTTCAGGTAATTACAAAAGTGGGCTGACAAATGTGAACTGAGGTATGTTTCAAAAAAATTACATCGCTATAAAATGTTGTGTCTATTAAAGAATCACTACATCTAAAATTGACTACTTTTCTAATGAATATGGAAACCGTCTTGTTATGATTAAGCTTTTACCTCGCTGTCTTATGAGTTTCACTTATGGTTAGTAAAAACCAGTAAAAATGAGTGATTCTTCTGGTAACTTCCTTAGATATAAACTAATTCGTGAGCGAGTACTAATAGTTTACCCCTGACCTAGTAAAGTAAAAGTTAGACCTAAAGCTCAGGATGAAGAACAATTGACAGCATTGCTACAAAAGAACATGGAATAGTGCGGCTCGATCATTGTCATTTGCGTGGGATCTTACCTAACGCGTTATAAAAGGTAAACATTTTTCCAGTCCTTCACACCAGTATCTGGAATTACCTTCTAGAACTGTTAAACCAATTCCTCAAAGGGAGGAAATATGTCAATATTGTATTAAACAGATGTCACTTTCCAAAAAGATGGAATGCAGGTTGCGGCGCTATAGCTACGGAAGAAAAGTCACTTATTTGTAAAGCATCCTTTAACACTTTCATAATGAAACAGGTGAGGGCTTTGCTGAATTGCCTGAAAAACTTCAGCTTCTCTGAATTGTACAATTTACTTGTCTGGCTGTGCCTTCAAGCATCCCCCTTTGCGTGGCTCCTGAACGTATCCCCAGGAAGATCAGCGCCTCCTGCTTGCACCCTCGCAGACCAGCCCAGGGACACAGCGAACCAGGACTATTGGGGTTGCTGTTTGTTTCCAATACTTGTCTCCGATAATTCCCAATTGAAGGAAGATATTACTTTCCACTTTTGAATCTCAGATTATTTTTTTAGGTTAGTACCACAACAGTACAACTACTGTTAAGACTCGTATTTCTTCAAAAGTGAACAAGTATTTAACACTTTTCAAATACATTTCTTAAAATCCTCTGAATTCCTAGATTATAGCTTCTTCCCCAGGAAGGGAAATTTTTACCATTTGGGAAAGGCTGCTATTTAAAGAGCTCTGAAATCAGAATTTAAAAAAAAAAAAAAAAAAAAAAACCTGAAACTTTTTTTCTCATACGCTCTGCCAAGTTCCATGGCAAGTTCCAAACATTGTGCAATAATTTGGAAATCCAGTTAACGATGGAAAAAATCGAGCCGCTCAGAGTCGGGAACTTGCAAGGGAAAATGTCAAGGAGCGGCACCGCACGCACGCCCAGCGGACGCCGCATCCCAGGGCACACTCCCCTCCCCGTCGCTCAGATGGAAGGTCACGCTTTGCAATCGATTTCACATCCTGTCACTTGTCCTTTTTTTCTCAACCCTCTGGTAAACTAGTTTGAACCTTGGAGAGCTTAGTGCTGTTGGCTACAGTTCTGCCCTCGGAGAAACACGTGTCCCCAAATAACAGGACCAAGGCAGTCCCGCGGAATTTGGCGGCGGGGAGCCAGACAGGGCAAGACATGTACCCTCTTCTCTGCTGCCTCACTCTAGTGAGAGAATCTTCCTGGACATCTCCCCGCCCCTTTCACCCAAGGTGCCCGGCGCGTACTTACCTGAGCTATCGCTTTTCCTCTTGCCGCCACTTCTCTTCTCCGCCTCCGCGGGTGACAGCGCCTGGCGTCCGTAGTCCCCCGGCGCGCACGCAGCTCCGGTCGGGGTGCTGGAGCCCAAGCTGGAAGAGTTGGAACACAAGACCGGCGGGCTGCTGCCCATCTCCGGGGGCCCTCCCGAGTCCGGCTGGAGGCAGAGGCTGTGCCGAGCCGCGCTCGGGGGGGAGGACATCTGCGGGAGGTGCCAGTTGGTTTGCAGAGCTTGGTGCTGCTGCTGCTGATGGTGGTGGTGGTGATGGTGGTGGTGGTGGTGGTGCCCCCTGTGATGCTGGCTGGCAAACATGCCCTCCTCGTTGGGGTATCCCGCGATTATGCAAGACGAGGAAGAAGTGGAGAGCTCAGGGTAGGACATATGGTCAGATCTTCCATGGAGGGCGAGAGAGGACTGGGAAAACGGGTGCAAGCCTTGCGCGGTGGCGTGAGGGCTGCGCAAGCAGCCAAAGAGCGGGTGTTCCATAGCATGCAAGTCTTGGGTTCCAGGCAGAAGACTTCACGACGGTTGCGAACACCACCACCCTCTGTCACTTTTCACTGAAAATCGTGTGACTTTTCCCCTTCCCCAAGCAATTGCTGCCTGCGTTTCTGCAGTTTGGATAATCCCGGTCCTGAGCCCTAGCGGCCAGTCTCCTTTACATATAAACAATCTGACCTGGAGGAGCTTCCCTCCGAGCTACTCAGATGTCAAGAGTAGGAGAGGTTGAAGCCAAAAGAAGGTGGTCCCAGAGAACTGCTTTCAGGGGTAAACGGCTCTGAGAGGTTATAAATAGAGTGTAATGTGAGCTGGGGGCTGGCTTAGGAACCCAGCGCTGACCACATGCAAACTCCCTCCAAAACTCCCGCTCAGTGTGCGCTACGCGCTTCCAGTTCCACTTCCTAATGCCGGCTGGACGCACACAGCGCGTCCACGCCCGCCCGCCCCTGCCGGCCGCCAGGACTCCAAGCTGAGCATCCCGCGCCTAAACCCCAGCCCAAGGCGGCAAGGGCTCTCCCCTCCGGGCGCCCGCAGCTGAGACGCAGCGTGGCGCTGGTGCCAGACCCAAGCCCACACCCCGAGTCCCACCTTCTCACTTCACTCAGGAAAGGTGTTTTATCAGTGCCACTTGGGCTCTGTCACCTGCTGGAGAGCTAGCATTGCGCCTAGCTCTTGAGGAACATGGAAGGAACATAGGATTAAGGGGGAAGAAAAAAAAAAACAGAGCTAGTTAGGGCGAGCTGGGAGAAGTTTTTCAAACTTTGCATCTCCTCGTGCCCTGGGGGCAGTGGTGCGCCTAGCTTCTTGCTGCCGGGGTCCGTGGGTGCGTTGTTCCTGGCTGCGGACGCCAGCTCTCAGGTAGCACAAATGCGCCCTACGCTCGGAAAAGACCCATTTTGTGTGCCAAAAGAGACCTGTCAGGATAGGTGGGAGGAAAGCACCAGGCAGTGACAGTTGCAGATGTCCAGCCCTGACATCCTTACCTGCGGTGCCTGGTGGGGTTTCTTTCCCTCTGCTTGCCGCAAATGCCCTCGCCCCTACTTTTCTGGTCCCTGTGAATTTCCACCAAGAAGTTTTCCTGGGTCAGGAATATTACAAAGCGATTTTGTTCTGGTCACATGAGATGTGTAGATTGCACGCACATGTCCAGTCTTTCCCCTCAGGAGCCATCCCATGTCTCCTCATTACCCTCCAGAAATCAACCCTATCCTACTCAAAAATAAATCAGGTAAGAGCACCTCCTTCCCCCGCCCCAGTCGTGGCACATTTACTAGAAATGTTACACTTCAACATCCCCCAAAGTTCACTAAAGCTTCAAATCTCCCTGGTTAATCTTGCATCATAGAAAATGAGTGAGAAAACTTGCCACCAGTGAATTAGTGCGAGCGTCAGCTGCGCTTTGATGGTTCCACTTGCTGGAGACATTGTCGGCTGGGGGGCAGAATCGTTTACACAAGGCAAACAAGCCTCGCGTAATGAGCTGCCGGAACCGTCGAGTCATGCCTGGGACATGTCGCATCAAGAGAATATAGGCGCTCACATACCTAGCCCGGGACCCCGCTTGTGCCACCAGCAGCGTCGCCCCGTTATTTTCATTGTCTCAGGTGTCCAGAGGATGGGGACCAAGACTTTGAAGTTGTTAATGGGATTAATGGGGACAGCAAAGTAGGCCAGCCATCTGGTTTGAATTAGCAAAAAATGTATTGATTAATCTTTGAGGAGTGTCCCCATAGCAGAACGTTTTCCCTGGCCCAGACCCTCAGGCTTCAGCCTATCTCCCTTTCCTCTTAAGTCGTACTGCAGAATAGTGGCTTCGCAATAAACCTTTACATCCGTGTGAAAATTCGAATTGTTTTCCATTGCTTAGAGGTGGGATGGGGTGGGGGTGATCAGGAATTCTGAGATTTGTAAGCGCTGCTTTCTTTAACGGAAATTGAGCCCTATTTTGAGGGAAATTAGTTTTGCAGACTTCGTTTAAAAAAAAAAAAAAAAAAACCTAAAACTTTTGTTCACCAGCTGCTCAGCTTTTCAGTCTGGGTCTGAGCTGGAACCTGCTGCAAGCGTTTGACGGTAAGACTTTCTTTGCCGATATTTTGGGAATCTAATATTGCTTTAGACTTCGAAAGGGGGTGTTCTTCAGGTTGCACGTTTCTAAGGGTTTTAAGCACTCACAGGATGGCGTCCAGGGCTTAGATCTTAAGAATGTTTCTTCCTGCCACTCCCCATGCCCTTGGCTCTTAAAGGATGAAAAAGGAGGGGGTATATTCTTCTAATATCGTCGGAATATTTTTTGAATTTTCATTGTGTTTATGGTTTCAATATGTGCCCTAATATTAAAAGTTGAAGTACAAAGGGCAACACTAAACTTCCCAAACTCGGGTGGCTCCTCCATGGATCCTGGGGGAAAGCATTAAAGTCTTTATCTAAAGAGAAATTTAGGCAACCGCCTCCATAAACAATAACCAGAAATATTTACATAAAATAATGCTGTCTCCTAAAAGCATTGTGGCAAATGTCAGACAAGACTAACTAAAGATACACTTGATCTGCAGACATCAATGAAAAACATACACAAAATCCTTTTGGTTTGCATTATAGTGGTGGTGAGAAAGCAAGCAATGGAGAAGTGAATGGATCTGAATTGAACTAGTGTGTTGCAAGTAACTATCAGTTAGCAAAAACACAAACTTTTCATCTCCAGAAGCTGCCACTTTCTTTGAACCTGCCCAGTGACTTTGCATGCTTTTTTCTCACTCACTGTGTCAGATGTTAACAACATGTCCAGAAGTTTCTGTACAACCTGCTTCAGTCACTCAGCCTCTGGAACTGTGGGGATAGAAGTCTGGGAAAGAAAAAGTAGAAAAGGTTAGAAAGAGAAGTTCTTTCAAAGTCTCTTTGAAAGGCATATAATTAAAACAAATTTAGCAAAAATAATCTTTTTAATTGAAGACCCAAAACATGTATCAGTAAAAATTATGATATCCAGATTTCTAACAGAAAGCATAGTATAAGGGAAATGTTATTTGGAATAGAAAAAAAGTGTGATTCAAAGAAGACAGAGGTAAAAATGAGGTCCTGATATATTCTAGAATTAAATATGATTTTTTCTTTGAATTTCCAAATACATATTAATGATTCCATTAGTTCTTTTTAAAATGTTCATCTTAGAATAATTAGAATATTATAAATTATTGGTTTTTATTTTCTAGGCCATATAGAATTTTTTGAGAAATGCAATAACAGGAAAAAATTGGTAGCATTTCCTATAATAGCTACCTTAGTGTTCATATCAATAAAATCTGATGATGAAAGTCAACCTTTTTACCTCTAATGGCTAATTATATCACAAAGAATGATAAAAAATGCAACATTTGTTATAGAATTTTTATAGAATTTACTTTAAACTATATATAGCATAGAATTTATCTTATATGTACAATATACATGAATTTTCCTGAAAAAATGTCCTGTTAATACAGTATTTATGCAAGGTTTGATATCAAGTAGCACATTATTATAGGAGGTTGAATATATAAAAAAATATAAGCTCCTAATCATTTGTAGGAAACATAATCAAAATTCTTTTAAACAGGTGCTCTTTAAATTTGATAAATGTGTATATCTATTATTACTTCTGCTTAAATGAAATGATATTCAGTAGTAAAAGCTGAGACTTTAAATTAAAGCTATTTTATTTTAAAGGAAATAGAACTTAAATTAAGCTGAAAAAATTATGTTTAAATTTTATTTCAAGAATCATGATGATTTTGTGGGGGTTGCCATTTTTCTGTATCTCTGTGACATGAAGTTTGATGGGAATAAAACTATTTAAAATTAAATAAAATCATTAGCTACAGATATTATAAACTTTAATTTACACTTTACCTGGTAGATAAATTTACCTTGGCAACATATAATCATAATACATGAATTTAAATATGGAAAATTAAATTAAAACTGGAATTTGTCTCTGACGGTTTTTCTGAGGACAGAAATATTATTTCTGTTATATTTCTCTAAGAAATAAGTTATGCCCTTCAGTTGTTATTTATGAAATAAAGAATTTTGAAAATACATTAAAATATGCTATTGTAATTTGTGTGATTTATATAAAGCACTTCATTTTTAAAATCTAAAGAATTTCCTTTCTCCAGACACTATACTTATAAATTTGAGGAATGATTTTACTATGATTAATACACGTTATTTAGTATTCTATATATTTTTACTGATTTTTTAAAATAAGTTATTATTTTTACATAATACTGATTTGTGCTTTTACAATTAACATTATGTTTTTACATATACTAGAAGAAATGAATACTTAAATATTCTGAAATGTGTAAAATAATATACAACATACTTTATTTTTTGTAATTTCTATCTCTACCTACATTTAGATTTATGATTTCTTTCAGAAATTGGTAGTGTTCTTCAATTCAAGTAATATATAGTAAATAACTTTCAGAAAACTAGCATGAAATATAGATTATGATTGATTTGATTTAAAATTCAGAATATATGCAATCCTCCTTAATTTCAGTTTATTTTCCACATACACTTTATGAAATTAAAATTTTTTTGTAAGGATGGTGTTAAAATTAGGAAGACATTGACTACCTCTCAAATTTCAAAAAATTCTAACTGAACTTCCCTTTGTTCATCTGTTTTAAATTCAGAATATTCAACAAACTTTCCTTATAATGATGTTCATGAGGAATAACTAACATTTGATATCTACATTTTCATTTGCAATTACCTTGTATGTTATTTTTATTAATAACTATATGCATTTCAATTTTTTACAATTGACAATTGACTCCGTTGTATATCTAACTATAAGATGTACAGGCACACTAATGCAAGACAGTTTTATATAAAATACTATATACTATGTTATAGATTCTATACCATGAAGCTCATAAGCACTAAATTTCTATCCATAATTTAAAGCACATAAACAATTTATTTCTCCAATGTCATAAAATGCAATACTATATTTTTAAGTGGATTAAATTTAGAACAAGTTCTTAAATCTCGAAGAACAAAAATTCAATCGAAACTAAAGATGGGAATTATAAGCTAAAACCTTAGTCTTCTGTTTTAAGATTTCCAACTTGAAGAGTTTAACATGACTAATGAAATTTTGTCACTATGGATGATTATTTTTACATATTTTTATTTTTCATACTTCATCAATTTGTAGCATGTTTTATTCTTAAAGTTTTTCTTCAATATTGAGGCTAGGTTTATGACTTGAATCACTGAAAACCTCTGTGTTTTAGCTGTGTTGTTATAGCTCCTTCATAATATTTAATTGC